CTGCTACTGCTACTGCTGCTGCCACTACTACCGCTAATAACCCTCAGACTAATCATCATAAAACACCCATTTTCCGACCCTGTACTGCACCACTACTAGATGCAGACTCTCGTAACTCTAGTATATGTAGATGGCCTGACTGCCCCTTTGCCAACCCTCCTGCAAACCCTAAACCCTAAACCCTGAACCCCTAAAGCCCTAAACCCTAAACCCTGAACGCCAAAGCCCTAAACCCCTAAACCCCTAAACCCCCAAACCCCCAACCCTAAACCCTAAACCCTTTTTTTGAGCAGGGACTGCAATGCACTAAGCCCTAAACCCTAAACCCCTTTTTGCTGCAGGCTTGCAAGCAAGAACAACCCTAAACCCCTAAACCCTGAACCCCTAAGCCCAAAACCCCTAAACCCCCAAACCCCCAACCCTAAACCCCTAAACCCTGAACCCCTCAGCCCTAAACCCCTAAACGCCTAAACCCCTCAACCCCAAACCCGGGGGCTCAAAACCTGAACCCTCAAACTGCCAAACCTCTTTTTCGCAGAGCACGTCAGGCATTTCCTTCCTCAGCACACCCCTGAACCCTAAACTCGGAAAATCCCGAACCCTAAACCCTAAACCTTCAAAACGGAAAAGCCTGAATCCTAAACCCTAAACCCGGAAAAGCCTAAAGCCTAAACCCTTCAAACCCCGAAAAGCCTAAACTCGGACGATGAGCCGCTGTCCGCAGGCACCGTCTGAGGACCAGGCCGCATTTCCAAATGTGGCGTTCATGAGACCGCCAATCATCTGGCCGGTATGGGCCTTTGAGAGCGGTTGGGAGTTTAAGGACTGATAGGGTTTAGGGTTTAGGGTTTAGGGTTTAGGGTTTAGGGTTTAGGGATGGTTTTAAGGGGGTTGTTGATAGGGGTCAGGGGGTGCATGAGGTCTGGGTTTCGACTCAAAATGGGGACGAGTTTCGGGCTCTGCTGTTATAGGCTTTGGGTTGGGGCAAGAGGATGGTGCTGTTGCTGATGATGTGAGCTGATTTGATGGGATTCTGGCTTGGTGTGGCTTCCGATTGATCCTTGTCAAGGCTCATGAGGCGCATGCTTCCCAGAGGCTCCAATATCCCTCAATCAAGGAATATACTTTAAATCAGGTTAAGGATACTACTATAACATAATTCAAGGAATATTCCGTAATTAAGGCATGTTGGAGTCTCTGGGTTCATTCTCGTGATGCCTGGCTGTGAGTATTACGGTTGTGTCTGGCTTCAAAAGAACAAATGTCCCGCATGATTGTCAATACTGTTGATGGACAAAATTCTGCATGACCCAAATCTAGTATAGTACCATAAATCCCGTAGTTTAGGTATATAAGGTCATGCAGGATTTTGTCCATCAGCCGGAGATGAGTGTTCTGACTTCAAGACCCGCCCTCCATGCCGATCGAAATCCCAGAATCCCATGACTCTGACCATCCTCTCCTTTGATCCCGAAACTGTGAAGACACGCAAGAAATAAACATGGGCTTAAGATGGCTTAAGGTCTAGACCTCCGGGCCGAAAAGCAATACTGTCATGAATTAACATGCTGATGCTTGGGGCTGCATCCCACCAGGAATCACGCACATGCTCATCCCACTAAACCCCAAACCCCACATGCTCCTCTCACCAAGCTGGATCGCTTTTCCGTGCTGCGCGCATGGCGTCAAGTCAGCCTACGAGCTTCGGTCCCTCTCCTAACAGGGACTTGCCCCGATAAGCCCTACACCCCAAACTACCCCCTAAACCCTGAACCCTAAATTCCTAAGTCCTAAACCCTTTTGAACCCGGAGCTCTCTCCAATCAGCCGTAAATTCTAAAACCCAGTGTGAGGTCCAAAAAATTGTCCTCAGTAGGTGTAGAGCCGCCTCCGGGGCCTAGAGCCCTGATTCTGAAAGCCTAAACCCTGTATTTCGGGAGGGAGTCTGGGTTGAAGAACCTTCTTTCCGAGACCGTGCTAGACACCTGAGACCTTAGGGTTTAGGGTTTAGGGTGCCGAACTGTCGAATATGTTGGCTGTTTTCGGGAAGTATCACCATGTCAGTCTAAACTTCTGGAAACCTCTATAAGACCATCAACGATATCTGTACAGGCTGATACAGTACCCCGAAGGCAATGGCCCGACAGAAACTGTTCCATACTAAAGGGGCCTAACCCATTACCAGTACTATTTTGGGATTCCCTATCATGGTGATAGCATACTATACCGACGATACCCCAAAACCCTATTCTATAATTTTAAGGCCCCTATATGACTCGGACATTCGGAGCTATCTGAGTTGCGGCTGGGCACTCCCATGACATTCCTGCAGGAATCTGACTAAGAAACCCTGGCCCCACAACCCCGAAGTACTAGGACTCGCACCAAGAGCCCTGATAAAGACCCAAAGTTTCCTAAGCAGGTTCGTTTAGGGTGTAGGGTTTATCCTTCGCAGTACATCTGATATCTTCGCCTGCGAGCATGTTCCAGTGTTTCTAGGTTACGAGGAGTCATTAACTCATTGCTACCAGTACCGATACCGTCCCTATGCTGCTACACTAGACGGCAGGGCGCCATCGCAAAGTACGAGGCAACGCAGAACCTGAGAATGGCTTGAGTTTAGGGCTTTCAGGGTTTAGGGGTATAGGGTTTAGGGTTTTCAGGGTCTCGTTCCCGACGGCTTATTCTTCAGATTTGCATGTGGGAGTGGTTGATCAGCTTCCCAGATACCTGTGCCTCATGCTATACATATTCACATGCTGTATATGTCTGTATACTAGTGTAGGGAATTGACACCTGAGGCTCCGGCGTAACCCGTTATTACAGGTAGTCATGGCAATGGAGCTTCCATCAGCACCAGCAGAAAACCAACAATCAAAAACAAGCAAGGTACCTCCTGAGCCCTACGTAAGCCCCCATATTTATAAAGCCTTAGCCTGGCAGTCCTGGTGTGAGTCGCAGATTACACCAGACCGAGGGGCCCAAACAGAACCATACCATGGAATCCGAAGAACGAACCCTCGGATGACACATCCAGAACTTGCAAAAACAGTCCAGTCTACCACTCCCCTAAACAAAAAGCAGATGCTTTGCTCCTTGATTTGGGCCGCACAACCTAAGCCCACGAAATCACCGTCAGTGTCGCCAGTGTAATAGCTACCGAGAACAGAAAGCACCACAAAGCTATACGCAAACAGCAATGAGAATAAACAGACGTGGATTTGTCTGGTAACGAGTGGGAATCGCCAAACCATGGAACACATTTTCCGCGAGAAGCGTTCGAGGCGGAGAAGCAAAAGGATCGGACCCGCCACTTCTCCGGGTTTCGGGGCAAAGGTTTGCAGATAAAAGGAATCCCTGAACACCTACCACGGGCCTAAACCTCTACGCCCAAATGCATGACGTGCTTCCAGTGCCCGACGTCGTAGAGATTTGCCAAACTCAGCAGGAATCCGAGTGTGGTTCCCGCCTTGGATGCTACGTGACAGGGGCCGATGTGGCACCCCCAGTGCCGAAAACGTTCTCCGAACTCAAAAATGTGTTCAACAGATCCTCAGCCAGCCCTGCCTTTGCAAGCAACACTCATTCTTGAAACCTTTCCACACCTGGGCTTTGCATATGCCAGGAACCGAGGCGCCGACTGTGCTGTGGACACAACGCTAAACGAAACTCTCCCACTACATCCGAATCTTAAGCTAAAGCTTCCTGGGGTCCCAAGGCCTTGCCTCAAGATTCTTCCGACGATGCTTGGGAATGAACTATGGGAGTTTCCGAAAATGAGGGGTATCTTATTTTGGGATCCCTATAATAAGGATCGTACCATTTAGGGTACTATATTAGGGTCCCCTATTTGCAGGTCCTCTGTGTCGCGCTGTCTTGTGCTCAATTCAAAAGGTCCTGTCAAATCGCAGTGTTCGTTCTTCGCTGCATCGTGCTGAGCCCCCAATCGCGTTAGTGCGGCCTCGAATTTGGGATGTGGCTTGCATGACAGCAGCAAGTCTAGTAGAATGTGAACGGATCAAGCCCCGAACGCATCGGCTCATGCAAACCAGGACACATGCTTCCGACGGAGGTCCTGTTGGGCAGATGCACAACCCTAAACCGTGCACTCCTAAAGCCCCCCAAAACCTGAAACTCGTAACATAGGGGTCTTAGGATTTAGAATAGGGCTTTAAACCAAGTATACTCCAACTAGAATCAGGAAGCCCCAAAATAGTGTTGGTAATTATTTAAGCCCCAAACACTCCTTGAACACCCAGCCCTGCAGTCTGAGAAACCCTCGAAGCCTAAAAACGTGAAGCCTACCAATCCTGGGAGCCTAAACCCCTCGGGCTCCAAGTGATCAAATAGTACCTACTTTGGGGTCTAGAGTCTGTAAATAGTACCTACATTGGGCTATTTGGAGTCCCAGGGTCACGCTGGAAACGCTGAAAATTCACCAACAACTATACTTCTGACAGCTATCTACCTGTGGGGCGGGCTTATCGAGCCTCACTTGCTCCTACACCCTGCAGGTTTAGGGTTTGCCCTACTTTGAGGCCGCTAGGCTTCGAAACGTGGGTTGTTGAGGTCTTCGGCGCCACTCCGAGATTTGGCGACCTTTGACCTTTGACACGGGCTCTGCAAAACATATCGGTCTTAGTATCCTGCTGCTATCGGAAGGACCCTCGACACAGGAACCTAATCAAGGCTATAACTTGCAACGAGTGGAACCCATCCTCGGTCAAGTTCATCATGCCAGGGATTGCCTTTGAATCGCCCCAAAGATGTAGGACGAAAAGGAGCGCATAGATGAGGAACAGCAGCAAGGCCTTCCTAGGCGGTTGGACTCATTCATATTGGGGTTGAGGGCGCAGCTCGATCACCGATGTCCTGGCAAAGCCTTGCCTACCTGATAGTCTGTTACGATAAATCCTTTCCGTCAACCGCACAGGATTCGGTCATGACGAAAAATGGGGGTTTCAGAAAATATGGGATCCTAATATAGTACCCTAAATACTGGGATCCTTATTATAAGGACCCCAAAATAAGGTACCCCCTATTTTCGGAAACTCCCAAATCAGTGGGCCACACACAATCCTCAAACCCTCGCAACTCTAAATCCTCAACACACAATAGGTCTGAACACTCCTGGCCCGTAATATCCCGAAACCCTGAACCCTAAAACCTAAATCCTGAGCGTGCAACCTCTAAACACTAAGCCCTAAACCCCTAATCAAACCCCCAACCCCCAGCACACTAATCCCGAAACCCCGATTGTTACACCCCTGAGCTCTAAACGTTAAACTCCAACACCCTAAACCTCGAACCTTTCTTGGCTGACCTCCGAACCCCTCCTAAAAGTTAAACGTTTAGCATCCTTATAATATTTCATATAGAACCCCTAAATCCTAAACCCTTAGTCCTAAGAGCCCCTCAACCCTAAACCCTAAACCCTAACGCCATGATTTCAGCTCCCAGCCGCTGCCCTGCTTCTTGGCAGGCTCGGTCCAGCGCGCGCTGCGCCGGAACGAAACAGAACAGAAACGCCACAAGGCCGAACCTGGGTTTGGGGTTTCGGCTCTCACGCTCGGACAATCCAGGCGAGTTTTGGGGTTTAGGGGTTTAGCATTCAGGGTATAGGGTTTAGCCTTAATAAGTAGAATAGGGTTTTGGGGTATGTTTTACTATAAATACAGTGAGAGAGCCCCAAAATCATATAGGTACTGATTAAGGCCCTATATTAGAGGGGCCGCTGCCGCAAAAACACTTTTGCTATGGATACTGCGCATATTGTAGCCAGTATTACCCTGGTTTTCGATACTGCTATCCTCATGACTTACGATTGTTGCAATACGGTTACTTGGAGGGGAGCCAAACCCCTAACCAATGAACATCAAGAGGTAAGCTGCATCTACCGCTGACCCCTAAGCCTAAACCATGAGCCAGAAAGCCGCCATTCCCTATGTAAACCCGGAAAAACTCCTCGCATCGAGACCTTGATCATTCGAATGTCCTTTCTTCTTCTGAGGGGGGTTATGATTCGGTGTAGTTATAGTCAGGAACGATAAGAACATGCATCGACAATAATTCAGGTTTGTATCTAGAGTAAACCCTGAACACCACATACCTAAACCCTAAACCCTAAAGACATACCGTCTAGACAAAACAGACAACGGCCAAAGCCGGCTGAAGGAAAGCGTGTGGCCCCTGCGTCAGTAAGTTGTACTGCCGCATGAAGACCTTGCAGCACACAAACGGTGGAGAATAGATCTCAGCGCATGAGATTTTGGAGTCTAGTATACTAAAACAATTTTCAAAGGGAGTTGGAGCAAATCCTAGTCCTAGCTCTGGAGGCTCTCGAACTACGATATCAGATAATTCAAGCATTAGCGTGGTGAGTTTGAGTGATTGCTCGGACTTGGATTTGAAGTCTCGAGATTCCGCCTGAGGTATGAAAGAGTTCGGAAAAATGTGTGCGACCTTAGGAGCTGCACTTCCACCCAATTTCACTACCTAGCTACAGCTCTTGGGCAAAATGCGGGTGAGGCTTTCATTTTTGGGTTTCCTCCACAGGATCTATGAGGATGTACTTGGAGGCCCGGGGGACTTAGTAAGTAGGTTATAAGTAGAGTTATAAGTACCCTAAATGGAGTTACCCCCAATTATAACCCTATTTATAACTGACTTACTAAGTCCCCCGGGCCTCCAAGTAGGGCTTAGGGTATGTGGGGTTGTGTAACCAATAAGTTTTGAATGGGTTCGACAAGCCATGACAGATGACGCTGTGCAGTAGATCAACGAAATTGGTCTAAGCTGCTGTTGCCAGAGATGCCAGAACAAAGGTGGAGATGCCCATCACTTGGATTTGCAGGTGCTGCTCCTGAAACAAGGGATCTGTAGGTTGTTTTGGGGTGCAGGGCCCACACACGAAGAACGATGGAGTTGCAAGCAAATGTGCCAGTGCCTTATTCGGCTTATATGAAGTAGTCATAGTTCATACGAGTAAATTAAATTACATGTGCAAGGTTCGTCTCACCTTTAGCCCAACTTCTAGCTGCTCTCGCAAGCATGCCCATGAACCTTCAAGACTTCGGTGGGGATTTGGACTGCACTACAAGAGTTGAGATTTCCAAAGCAGGCTCTCATGGGTCGACATGACCAGAACTGTCATCTCCGAGACGACAATCCCCACGAACCCTGCGAGAGGCGCTGCCATAATTTGCACACCTAGCCCTCACCCCCCCGCCCCCGGAAGCTCCGCTGGTGCAATGTCGTGAAGGCCGCTGAAAAGAAGCCTGGGAAAATCAGAGTAGCCTTGACCCTAGTTTAGAGAACTATCCAGATGGCTCCTACAAAACAGGGCAGTTCCTCTTTCGGTTTTTGTAATGCAAGCAACCAGTCTGTGGTATGAGAGTTAGGGCCTGCGATACCTCTTGCATTTCCTCTTTCGGTTGAGGGGCTTAAGTAATTTAGGGTCTAGGCTTTCGGTTGAGGGCTTAGGCTTTTCGGTTCGGGGGGTTGTGCTTCCGGCCAGAGTCTGTAGGACTTTGAGTTTAGAACACCATCAAAAAAACTCGCTAGTCATTTGAGTCTACTTTTGGTTCCTTGGGCTTGATTCGGTGCTGCGTTTGCCGCAGGGCTTGCATTCCAACTTTGTCAGCTTCGATTCTGGCAATGGTGCATGCTGGTCGCGTTGATTCTCGTTTATCTTGCCCTAAACCCTAAACCCTAAACCCTAAACCCAAAACCGTTTGATTCACTTCCTTGAGCATTGACCTCTCCTGTCTCCGAATTCAGGGCTTAGGGCCGAAACCCTAAACCTCCAAACCCTAGGGTTTGGGGTCATTCTCGCTCGAACTTCCGACTTCGGTGGAGACGAAGCAACAGGCGTTGGGGTTTGGGCAGTCGTTCGACTTTTGCAGACGTCTTGAGACCAGTCGTTATGGTGCAAAGAAGAGTCGTCCAGGCGAAAGTATTTTTTTAATTAATGGCGCCAAGAGCAGTGAACAACAACCCGGACTCCATACATACCGGTAGTGATCACGGACCTCACGGCAATAAGATGATGAGGAGAGCAATCCTAAACCCTAAGCCCTACACCCCCTGAACCCTCAACCACAAAAATCACGCACCCTCCATAGCATTGGAGCCCTTGGCGGTATGCAAGGTTTGCGACCTGCATCCTGTGACTTACAGTAGGGTTTTGCGGAGTGCTACACCAAGCAATATATAGTTAATAAGGAACGCCCCCGCGGCCTAAGAAATTAGGCATGTAAGCATGTAGGCTTCTATGTTACCTCCGTGGCGTAAAGTCAGAGCACGGCATGATGGTGATCACATCCACGGTCCTGTTCAAGCTGGGGTCAACGTGGCAAACTGCCGCTGTGCGCCGGTCTGAGAAATTGCTTTTTTGCTACTGCACTCTTCTGCAAATTGGTCCCTTCATAGTTTGTGTTGCTGTGCATGAGACCCTGCCGGTATAGATTTCTAGCCCTAAACATGCGTAGTTCCGATACTTCTCGGCTCTTGACGTGCACCCAAGTCCTGAAAACCTCCTCGATCGTTGCGTTGAGGGTCAGGAACTGCCAGAGTACATTAGCCCCGAAGTGGATCCTTAGTGTTCTGTCAGGGGTATAGGTTTCGGGTTTCGGGTATGCCTAGAATCCTTAATGCTCAGAACTTGCGTGGATATCTATCTCCCTGATACTTCCTGAATGGTGCCATTCTCTTTTAAAAAAAGTGGGGTTCAGGGCAAGGCTTGAGATGCCTGGTGAATAGGTTGCTGGAGACATATCCTATGTGAAAATTCAGAGGAACCAAGTAAGCTCGCGAGGGCGAGGGCCTGCTTGCTGAATATAGCGGCCTCAACTATTGGAAGAGGGCTCCCTCGGGGATTGCTATACGGGTTCTATCATCTAGGGACTTCAACCACCAGATCAGGTTTCGGAGAAATTCGTTTAGGAAACAAAAACTCAGCCCATCTCAGGCATGGCTCAAGGCCACAAAGTTGCGAGGGCCGTAGGCCTCGCAAGCCAGCATGAGAACCTGAGCACGGTGCCGGTTTAGGGTTTAGGGCTTAGGGTTTAGGATTTAGGGTTGAGGGTTTAGGGCTTAGGGTTTAGGGCTTAGGGCTTAGGGTTTAGGGCTTAAAGGGTGCATGTTACAACATCAAACCAGACTCTGAAGCAGGGACCCTTCCAGTAAGGGCTGCTACATACACCCAACCCCACAAGGTCGCAGGCATTGTCGCTGCACAGTCGTCCCGTTAAGTGCTCTGGAAACCCATGAGCCAAAACCCTAATGTAGGGGCCTTAATAATTAGAAGAGGGTTTTGAGCTCCTTTATAATGAAATTATAAGAAGGAACCTCCAAAATAGTATGGGTAATTATTTAGGCTTCTATATTAGACCCTGAACCCTGAACTTGATGTTCAGCCCTAAACCTCACAGTCTAGTCTCCCACGATGGAGACAATCCTAGCGAGGCCTCGGGTTTCCGTACAAAGCAGGCCGGTATGTTTTCATGGTTTATCCCGGCCTCGAAGTGTGGTTCCTTCTGTCGGTTGCCTTGATTTCATAATTTCATGACCCTAGAAATAGAAGTAAGTCACTCACGTACAATCCAGCATCTGGGTCCTAGCAGGATCTATGATCGTGCTGCTGCCGTGCCGATGATCCGTCCGGAAGCTCTTGAACCTTCTTCGCTGCTGTGGTGCAGGCCTCGTTGTTTAGGATCATGAACATACACGCGGTTTAAGTCTTGCAAGAATCGGATGCAGTCAAACCACTCATATTTATTACCTGCTTACTAAGCCTCCCGACCCTCCAAGTATACTTCTCGTGCCGAAACTCAGCTAGTGAAAGCCGAGTGGCATGGCTCCAACAGCGAGTGTGCGTCTTTAGGATGCCATCACGGAAGTAGGACTTCATGAGGTTTAGGGTTAGGTACCCAGAGACTCCAATATCCCTTAATTAAGGAATATACCTTAAATCATATTAAGGATCCTACTATAATTTAAGGAATATTCCTTAATTAAGGGATATTGGAGTCTCTGGGTAGGGTTTAGGGGTCTAG